TGATATCTACATATCTATAAAAAAATTCATTTTTAAACCCCTATTTATGGCAGTAAAGAAGGGGGTCAGTTTTCTTTGTAATAAAGTACAAATTTTTAACCGAGTAATATGAAAAGGTAGCTTCGAAACCGACCAATAGGAACCAAATAAAACATCACAGATTAATTGTTTATAACTATTAAGAAATAAATTTGGTGGCATTCGTTAGTCAAATCATTACATTTTGTATTTTTATGTAAATCATTTCTTTCCAAAAAGCATACCTTGTCTTCTAGATCTGAAAACCTGGTTTTTGCCAACTTTAGACCTCCCCCATTTGCTAACGCACTCTTTTTCAAAGCTGGAAAATATACAGGAATGCTTAACTTTTCCCCGCCTACAAGGAGCAACTCCCGTCCGGTAACAAATTTATGTTGGGAAAATTGGACTATATAACATGTAACTTGTAATTCGCGGGCGTAGTTTTCATCGTATTTTCTATATGACATGTGGTGTTTGCAACATTTTTTGGGTTAATTCCTGTAGACAACGTCGATTACGTAAACGCAATCTCTCAATAATTTTACAAAACTTAAATATTGACTCCAATTCTGATACAAATGTATCCTGCATACCTACATACGAACGATAATACCTCAACCATGCGTTTTATGACACAAATATATTGCAATTACAATTCAGTAAAAATTAACAACCCTTCCATATGGTGTCCCTAAAATTAATTATTGCGCAATAAATAATACTTTTTTAGGTTATGTGCCGATTCTATTATAAATTAATTAATCACTGAGAACTTACGCAGGGCCGTGTCTAAAAATCAATTCGAAACGGGTAAATCTAGATTCTGACCCCCCCCCCGCCTTTACATTACTTCCAGAAACCAAAATATATGCATAGAAATTATTTTATATAAGTATTCGCTATTTACATCATTAAATGAATTTTGTTACGTTAGAATAAGTAGGTAAGTAAGTATTTCTTTCTTCTCTGGACATTCACAAAACACGGCTTTTAAAAAAATGATAGAGAATACATAGAAGAGAGAAAAAACACAATATACATATATACCTACGTATGCCCTATAGATTAACTGTCATGCAATACCCTTCCGGCTTTCATTGAGGCGAAGTAATTTTAAAAGGTTTTCGATGTTCCGTGATTCCGTAATGCTATATTCGATTAGCAACAAATCCAAATTTCTAAGTTTCTTCTGTACCAGTGAGACATTCTTACGCAGCTTTAACTTATTAAAGGAGAAATGACCACTCTACATACTAACAGAGGGTATCTAATTCAATCTTTCAGAAAAGTCGAATTAAATATTATAGTCAATAGTCCTTTAGGCGCCCCTTTAATTTTGGTTGGGTGTCCCTTTACCCTCCCTGCCCCCCGCCAAAACACGGCCCTGTGGTTGCGTATGTTTTTAACTGATAAAATTCACTAGTCAATTTAGAACATCCTAAGCAAGAAAACCAAGCTGGAAGTTTATCGAAAAGGGGGAGTTTATCATAAATTACACTAAAGTCTGAAATAAATACTGTATTACAAAGTAGCTCGAAATAAGTACCATCAGACTAGGCATGTCGATTTAAAATCGATTAATAGAAAAATCGATTTTTTTCGAGTGAAATATTTGATTTTGTAGATGGATCTGAAACACTGAGTCGATTCACAAACCGCTTGAATTCACATTTTAACAATATAAAGTATTTAAACAGTCACAAAGCACATTTATTTTTAAAAATAGTAAATAAGTACCCTCTTTGGTCACTCTGCTTAGCGCATAGGAATTGAATCGTTTAAACGCGTATTCAGTGCGCGAGACTCGTGGAAGATATAAATCATGAATTGTCCTACTAGGGTATAAGTATATGTAGATTACTTATACATATATACTCAAAAGAAAAATTAACTTAAGATTCGATTAATCGAGAATCTAGAAATCGAAACTGGTGTGTTTGGTTCGAATAGAATCTAAAATGAATTTATTAAAACTAATCGACATGTCTAAATGAGACAAAAATTTTAAGTATCTTCTCTTTACACATACATATAAAACGATGCTTTTGATTGATGAACTAAAATCTAAAAACTGAAAATTCCTCCACAATGTCTTCTTTTAGTGTAACTTATTGAGATTTTTGCCTTTTAAACAAATGTACGAGGGTGGGTTGATAAGTTTCCGGCCTAACCAAGAGATGACGCCACTAGGCCTACCTTGAGGTGACATTCTATAGTACCATCCTTGGATAGCTTGTAGCTATAGTTTCAGCCCGATCTCCT